GGGGGGGGGGGGGGGGGGTAGCAACGAACGTGCAAATGAAAATCAAGGTTCAAATTCCACAAAACCATCCAATATTTTAATTGGTTTTTCATGCGACGGTGTAATCGCAACGGAGACCGTTCACGAAACTTGCGACGCTGTTCCCCTGCACCGCATCCGCGAGCTGTTGGAACGCGCCTTTGCGTTGCTGCAAATCCGAACAGCTAGTGATATCAGTGTCGTACATACTGAATGATTTACCTAACACGACTCAGTTAATTTCACGCTTAGTAAATCTTTTTTTTTTTTTTTATAAAAGCCTCACCGAACACTATATTACGTTATTTGTATAAGTTTTAAAAGCTAAAAATGAACAAAACAGCATTAACATTGTTACGAGTCGACTCGGGAAAAGAACGGTACAATTTGACAGATCATTAACCACTTTTTGCGTTAATAGCACTCAAAACCTTACAATTTTATAATAACGAGACCAAAAAAAAAAAGGGAAAACAAGTTGAATGAATTTTTTTTGTCAAACATGGTGATTAATTTTAAGGAGACCACTTTGTACATACAGACCAATCGTTATTTCCACTGGAGCGTTGCTAAACTAACGAGGAATTCAGTGTGCGTACATAATAAGCCCGAAACATTCGCACGTTCTGTGATAAGATTATTCTTACTATGAAACCGTTTTAAAACGTCGACGTCCATCCATTGACATAGTTAATCGAAAGCAACCGTTGAATCGCAACTAGTAAATATTCCAATCGTTACGCGTTGGATGACGAAATCGTAATGAACTTTTAACGTTTAAGTAATTTATAATTCACACCGCTGCAAGTCCATACATATAATTACAGCATTTTAGTAGTACGGTCGAAATGGAATACTTACTCGAATGGCAAAACTTGTTGGTACAGTGTGCGTTCGTGTACGTTCAGGGCAATAATTTCATATCGTATTAGTCTAATTGAAATATATTTCACAGCACGTCCCGGTTAATGTAATCGACTTGAGCGAATTGCGTGTATTCATTTCCGAGAGAGAAAAAATTGTATTTAATTAGTAATTAGTATTATTTTTGTAGTTTGAATAAATAAACACGCCAGCTCTGCCGGAGCGAAAGTCGACGTGAGAAAAATAGAAACTTGCGTCTGAATCATTTAAATTCAAATTATATACGTTATTTTGATATCGTCTTAGAAATAAACTTGGCACTTTTACACTCGTAAGCTACATGTAAAATAATTTTTTTATCATAGCTTATTCGATAGTAATTATTATAGATTTTGAGTTCTATAGGAATGTCTTTTCTACTCTGACTTTGCATCGTCGAACATTCTTGTTGAGTTTTTATTATTTGAAATCGATTCCCTTTTTATTAAAACACGATCTAGCTGTTGACAGTTTGTTATACTTGGAAATCCTCATTTAATGCAGACATGTGTTTATTGTTTTTATCGCTTTTAGGGTAAAATAAATAAAAGGCTTGACCCACAGAAACGAACTGAAAGTGCTGTTTTTCTCAATGATTATAAACGTACGCAATTATTTAATCTATTTTCGCTGTAATTAAGAACATTAAGTTGATTAACTAGGAAAAAAACAAGTGTCGATCGAGAACTACTTCAATCAGTACAGATAGCCATTCAAAGTGCCCCACAATGTAATCAAATCTCACCAACAACTTTTTTTTTTTTATTTGTTTACATAGTGTTTTGATATTTTCAGAAGTTTTTTACGATCAAGTAAAAAATAAAATTGTAGTAGTCTACCAGTGAATTAAAATTAACGAGCATATATTTATTGCAGGTGGAACAGATCGTATCGCTAGCGGTGCCCATACTGTTCGGCATCATTGTCGTTGTCGGACTGCTCGGCAATTTGCTAGTGGTCATCGTGGTAATGGCCAATCAACAAATGCGAAGCACCACCAACCTACTCATCATCAACCTGGCGCTCGCCGATCTGTTGTTCATCGTGTTCTGCGTGCCATTCACCGCGGTCGATTACATGTTACCTTATTGGCCGTTCGGCGATGTCTGGTGCAAAATGGTGCAATATCTTATCGTGGTGACCGCCTACGCCAGCGTCTACACTTTAGTACTCATGTCACTGGACCGGTTTCTGGCTGTGGTCCATCCCATTGCGTCCATTTACGTGCGAACCGAACGAAACGCGTCTTCCGCCATAATCGTCACGTGGGTGCTCATTGTGTTACTAGCACTCCCCGTGCTCGCCAGGCACGGCGAGGTCACGTACACCTTTTCCAGCATCGAGCACACGGCGTGCATATTTCTGGACAGGGATCCGAAAACCAGGCCGGACGGCTACAACAAACCAGCATATCAGGTATGGTATGAACACAGTAGCGTTGAGTGTTTAAAACACGTTCACCGAGTCTTCAGTATGTTTTGTAACTTTTGAATCTCTTAAAGAATAATTTATGCCAAAGTACATGCCAAACTTCTTAAATTCTTAATTATAACCATCCTTTTAATTGCATCGGTCAACTAATAAGCTTAACACACGAGTCATATTATTCCTGTAAGTTAAATATGAGTTTTTAAAACAAATTACGGCGAAAGTCATATTTTGACGAGTGTTTTAATAATTCATAACAAGAAGGACAAGTTTAATGTTTATATGAAAACTTACCACATTTAAACTTCATAATTTTTACATGTTTCGTCATATTTTATGTTGATAAAAAAATACAGAGACACTGTGAGCTTACTCATTTTTTGTTCTGTTTATATTTTGTGAACTCGTAGCTCATCATATTAAATTGACTTACGCGGATATTATTTCATCTTTATTTATTTATATAGTGAATATAAACGTTGTGTATGTATTACAGAACGTGTAAAAATTCACATTATAAGTTTTTAAACATTTTTTTGGATGAAAAACTGTAATAACGTTTAAGTGGGGCTTGTAAGAAGATAGGCTTTTTTTTATAAAGCGGCTCAACGTCAATAACAGAATCAATGAAGATAAAAAGTTAAGAACATTTCGATAAAAAAAAAAAAAAGTTCAATTGAATATAGAAAAAAAAATTAAAAGGACTGTAAACTAATAAAATCACGTAAAAGTATTTTCTAAAGAAGACGAAACTCGAATGTCGAGGATAAATATCAAAGCCAATCGTCACATCAGTCAAATGCATTCTAAGAGTAATGAATTTCCAGCAACAGTCGGTTATGGCATTTTTAAAAACTTTTAAGGAGCTGATGTTTTACTTGGAAATATTATTGAGTTAAATAAATCATGTTTATATCGGTTGTTCTACAAATGTGGGGAGCTACGGCAATCATAATTACTTTCAAGTTATTTATCTCCTTGTCGAAAAAGTTGCGGGCAAAATAATTTATTTGATGCCGCCCAGGTAAATAATAAATCGGGTGCAGATACGGTTATCTTAAATCTTACCATGTCGTTCACATATAAGTCGTTATCTAAAATAAATGTTTTAGGTTTTTATTCCGACGGCGAATAAGCCGTTCGTTAAACAATTAAAAACGTCCAATATTTAAAGGAAAAAATGGGAGGGAGTAATAAGAGTCTTTTGGTTTAATAGCTCCAAGAAACTTTCCTAAACTATTATCTCGTTGACTATTATCGCGGCTAATACACATTTTCCAAGAGCAATAAAAAAAACTTGCACCTTTTTGCTGTCGAAATTATTGCCGTTTGCGATTAACCCGACAGAGAGTAAAACTTTCCTATAAAATGCTGAATGGATATAAATTATAAACGAATTTTATACAATTACTAAGTACCGTAATAATAATAATACAATATCATCTCGTTGTCAGTGTTCAACTCTTGCGCCGAAATTCAGTCAAGTCGAACGCAATTAATACGATTAAAAAGAAATGAACAAAAAAATTTCATTACAGTAACACGAGTATAGTAATCAACTCGATGAAAATCAGTGTAAAATGTCGTCGACAATGACTACAGTCGCTAACTATTTTTGACAGTTGTGTTCCGAACAGAAATCTCTTTTTAAAGGCAAATTGGCCTTTCAGGCAAATGTATAATCGCGAAAATCACGTGACCAAACAAGGGATACGTCACAGATGAACTAAATAACATCCAAATACAGTTGTAAAAAGCCATGATACATTATTAAAAAAGAGTTACAACTCAAACGTGCCCGGCAGATAGTTTACTAAATCCCAGCGCAACGAAGAAAGTAATTTTCCAATGGAGTCTTAACTCTTCGAATTTCCGTTTTATAGCTTCTTTGTTAATTAGTTTTAATTATTCATACTTATAATTACAGTTTGACGATTATTGTGTTCTCTCCGAAGAACAAACTTCACAGTTAATAGCACGTGATTAATTTTTGATAGGCAGCTATACGCGTGCTGAACACCATTGAAACCAACTTGATAAAATCTATAAATACCATGTAATTACACGAAGTGAAAACTAAAATTTTCTACGCTCGTCTATATAAAAACGACACTATTGCATTTTGACGTTATTTTATACACTACACGCCCTAAAATTTGAATTGTCCAAAAAAAAGCTTGAGAACCAACACAGACAAAAAATTCTACTGTGATTAATATTCTCCGGTTATCATATAAAACGTTTAGAATGGTTAAAAGTTTAGGTAAATATTGTTTTTTAAACGACTCAGCTACGTTTCTCACAAGAGATGAAAACCCAATGGTAATAATAGACTAACAAAAACTTTATTTATCCTTAGTTTTTAAAACGAAAGAATAAGTATTTGAATAAACATCTATACATGGTCAGTTGTTCGTTATGTAACTATGTCGTTTATCTTTCAGTAAAAAAGAAACTATTGAATTTATTTTCGTTATAAAAGAGCAAATCGTTACTGAGAATATTAAGAGACGTTTCAAAAACACTGACTTAAGAAGACAACGCCACGTTGCTTAGGTTCAAAATGATGCTTTCAAACGTAAGTCCCGCTTGTGTTTATGAATAAAAATGAATTTTCTGAATTTTTTTAAGAGGGTAAGCCAAGACTCCTTTGATCCTGAGTTACGTAAATGTTACCTACAAACAAAATAAACATTGTGGACGGCTTTTAAAAATAATTGGCCATAATAATCAGTATTGATTAACTGATATTCACAAATTTATTTCAATAAGTGACGTGTATAGGGTTTTTTTAAAAGATGGGGATTATAAACTGAAATTTTATTAGCCCTCTTAATTGTAACTTGGACGCCTAATTATTTTTATCATTCAACTTTTGGTGTAAAACTTCTATTGATCTTCTTCTTCCTCGCCTTAATCCCAACTACTTGGGGCTGGTATCAAACACTTTATTCTTTAGGCCTTCTACGTTTTTAACTACTTTATTCCCTCTAACCTGTTGTCTCCGAGTACATCTGAGATGGCACAATTCGCCTTAGTTTCGTTCAGGACACCTCATACTATTTGACAAAAAATTTTACGCCGGCTGTCGATCTGACGCAAATTCATTAGTCTCATTAGCCTCTTACGACTGGCAGAGGGGCCGTGGAAGTATTCTTATCCCCTATCCAAAGTGTAAAACTTCTTTATTTAGATAATATTCTAAATTATGTTTGCCTACCTCTTTATGAAAAATCTGCAAGATTGAAATTTTGTTCAAAGGAATTCATTAGACACCTCGCAAAGTTAACATTATGCCCCGGCGTTGATATTCAAAAAAATAAGTAATGATGTTACCTGTCGATGATTTTCGTGATTTCCTGGTACTAATATTTTATTTTTGAGACAATATAAAATCGAATCTTACGGTATGGTGAATTAAGTAATATCAATACTTATAAAATTAACCTTAGCATACATATAATAAAGAAAAATTGACAACTTGTCAATAAAATAATAGTTATAAAAAAAATGTATAAATTGAAAAAATATTTTTCCCGGTCTCTTCAACGTATTAGATTGGCTTATAAACATTATCATAACACATAAAAAATTATTATTAAAAGATATACATATAGATTGAAATGAAATGAAAATAAAATCAATCAAGTTCAACAAAGTTATACCAAAAGGGATAATTTTTCATGGCAAAATATTTAATTTGTTTTAATAAATTCGTGGACAATGTTATTTTAAGGTTTTGGTAAATGTATAAAAATGTATAAATAAATGATATATAGTTGAATGAATTATTTTCTTCGATAGATGTGAAATTATATGAAAAAATGTTTAGATTATACATTAACTATTATGAATCAAATATAAACAATAAATAATTCATTAACAAAATAAATAATGCACATTGCGAAATATATAAAAATTAAATTATCAGAATGAAACAAAACATAATGTAAAAACACAAATTTTATAATGCAAAGAAGCTTAATTCAGATTTACTGAACATTTTAATGAATAAAAAAATGAATTGGTATATAACATAAAAAAAATAATAAATAAATATTTTAATGTAATCTTAAATATTAAACATTGAGACTTCCGTAAAAAAATGTTTAACTAATTAAGTTACGAAACAGAAGATTTTTTGCATTCTTCAATCTTGTTAAACTTCCGTTACTTATTTCCATAACATTCAAAGATATTTTTAGAAATACGAATAACTAAGTACAAAACATAAACTATTATTAGAACTTATATAAATAGTTTGCTGTTTCCTCAAAACTCAGTAGAGATGTGATATAAGAATGAAAAAAGAAATACAATCAAGGTAAGTAGGTAACATAAATGTAGAGTTCTTTATCGAAAAATTAAAAAATATTGTAATAATTGCATTGTCATAAGGTAAGACAGGAATTCGGGCGACTTTAATATCATAGGATTATTACATAAATTGATTATTGTTTTATTATATTGATAATTATGTTGCAATACGTTTATTACACAGATACCTCGTGTCTATCATCCGCCGCCTTATTACACATAGCTTGATCAGAGTACCCCCGTTTTTTAATTAGGGTGCAAAGTCTATCTGCTGAACCGACCAACGAGCGCCGGCAGTGAACGATAAAGTTTCTGACGTCTTACTTGTACTTACATTACCCGCCGACGTTATTTCCAATATCGAAAGATATTTTGTTTATTTTAAAAAAATATCAAAAGTTGTATTTTTAACATTTTTGTTAGTGTAGCTGACTCCGTTGTCAGTAGTAAATTATTGCTACTGTTTTTTGTGTAAATATAATTTTAACTCGTGTTATTTCATTTAAGTCCTATCTTTTGACACACGTGTAGTATTGACGATAATACTTTGTCGATGTATTCCCAATTATTTCTAATCTTATCACTTAAATTTATATTCAGTATATTATAATATCCGTGTTAGATAAGCAAAAATTGGTAGCTCAGTGGTTTATGAAATTTTGAGTTATTAT